TACCATATAAATAGGATTACATCCTTCAATAACGCATAAATAAGCAGAAATATTCAATACAGTTTTAGACTTCTATAAAGCTGTTTGGGGGGGGGGGGGGGGGGGGGGATTGTATTTGCGATACCTCCGGTTCATTGAGGGTTCATTACTGATGAGCTAAGTCCTACCAATATATTTTAAATCGTAGTAAAAACAGTATAAAGGGTTGTTTCATTTGAAATTTAAAAATAAACACTTTGAGATATTCTTTATTCAAGAAATACCGGGTTTTTATTTGTCGCCCATGACCCATTGGTCTCTCTCAACTGTTCCTATCTATCCCTATTGTTATGTGAGCTCACTTTGACTCTCATTGAAAATGCATATATTGGAGCTTAGTTGAGTTTACATGGTGGTGTTAATTTCTATTTGTCTATATCCGGCTTTTTAAATTATTAACCGCTCTCTACTAAATAAATTGGGAATTTATATCAACGATGTAGTTTTTACAATTATTAAAAAAAATAATGTGAAAATATATAGGTATAAATAATAATATTGACACACACACACAATGAGAACAAATAAACATTTACTATTACCTTCTGGAGAAATGAGAGTCTGAGAAAAGAAAATGGGGGATTTATCAATAGAATAATGTGTTAAAAGAATAAATACCTAAGAGTGAATATAATGTGAAATACAAAATTTTAAAAAAGAGGAGTAAATAGCGACACATTTTAAAATCAACTTATTCAAAAAACTCATTTTATTAAAATTCCTTTTGTAGATATATTCACAAAATTGTTGATTCAATGAATTTTTTCTCTATATTTCGTTGTTTGGAGTATCGAAACCATGCATGCTCCACGCTTTTTGAATATCCTATCATTCAGAATTTATATGAAAGTGAACATTAAAGATATGAAAAGAGGAATGTTTATTTAAACATAATTCATTATATTGTTTGTTTATCTTGTATTTCATCATTCATAATTTGTATTTTCTCTTAATAATTTCTGTATCATCCCAAGTTTGTCTTTCCTAATTATCCACGTGCCAATTTGGTGGAGATGCTGGGTAACTTAGGGAAGACAAACTGAATATCGCCGAGAAGACCTAGAGGCCATGGGTGTTGTGATCTACATTTTCAGAACTGAATCCACGATTCCACCGCTGTGTCAAAGCCAAGACTTCCTCCAAGATGACGATATCCCTATAGAAGGTACGACGACACAAGAAAAATGACTCAAAGGTACTAGGGACAAAGTCCCAAGATTCCGATGAAATCCTTGGCAGATGCACGTCAGATTCATTTCAGTATCTTCAATAATTGCAAGCTGGAAGGAAATATGTAGCAAAATATTTATTATTTTATTTACAGAGTTTCAATTTGGATATTTATATTTTGTTACTCTGTAAATTTCCCTCTTTGATTCTTAAATAAATTGCAATGTCATCTCGAAGTTTGGCTTCCTTGATTTTACAGATGACAATGTTTTGAGTTATAAATTATCCAAATATATTTCTATAGGTCATTTTGCATCATTTATTTATGATAGGTATGATATGTATTAAATATAAAATAATTTCTTTGAGTATGTAAAACATATAAATAAATTTAAATATTTACAAAATAAATAAGCTAAATATTTATCAGAGCTTCTTTAACGGTTCAGTTTTTCATGTACAAAAAAAACTTTTACAACTTTTTTATGGAGGAGTAATATTTACGAAACCAAAAAAAGTCATTTTGAAGATGCTTTTTTATTGGTTGTTGTCACTTTTAAATATTGTTTATTGTTACTGAAATCCAATAGTTTAGCATTTTCTCATATAAAAAATACACGCATAAAATTGTGATTTTTAAAATAAGTTAGTAATAAGTAATGTGGTTCGAATTTAAAAAAAAAATTGTGTTTATTTTATTTATATTAATAAAAAATTGATTACTATACCAATTTTGATTATTATCATATAAAAATAAACGATGTTATTCAATATAATTAGATATATATAAAAATACATTTTCAAATCTATTTGTATTTTCCTTTGTGTGTTATAAATTTACAGAATTTGTTGTGTGTTACATTATTTCTTACTACTATTGACAATACAACATTATCAACCTACAAGTAGGTGCACGTGTACTACAAGCTCTTGTTCATAACTTATTTTTATTATAAGGAATTTCCAATATATATACAGTTAAACCTGTCTATAGCGTCTCTCTAAATAGCCCCTTCCTCTTTATAACGCCTGATTTTAAACATTCAAATGTAAAAATTTACATTAAAAGTGACCTGTATGTAGCACCCCCTCTCTATAGCACCCTATTTTGGTGAGTCCCAAGAGGTGGCGCTATAGACAGGTTTAACTGTACATAGGTTTAAGATTGCTGAGGAAAGGCCTGCCCGAAAGCTACTTCATACAATTAATAGAATAATAGTTGCGGCGACTTTTATCCTTTTTTGTAATATACACATAAGTTTATATATATAGAGATATATTACATAATTATATTATGAATTACACTTGAATATACACAAATGCTCCTTTTATTTGGGCCATATGCCCTTTACAAGATTCGCGTTATGGTTGGGTATAACAAAATAAAAAATAAAGATGAATAAAAATGAAGAAGATGAGAAAGGCTACCTTTTTAACAATATATATATATATATACTAGCCGAGTGACCCGGGCAACGCCCAGGGTTTACCCAAAGGGCCTGCAGAGACTTTAAAAGTATAGATGGTGGCTTAAAAATCGCAATGGGTATATTCAGATTTCCTAGAAGCAGCATTTCAAGTAAGGATAAGTAAAAATACTTTCTAAGTATAAATTCGTTAATTCGACCATGTTTTGATTTCCAGAACCTATGAAATTACAAACAGTAATTCGACAATACCGATAATTCGACCTTGATTTGATTTCCCAATCTCTGGCCTATCAAATAACAAACGGTAATTCGACAATATTAATTATTCACCACTTCTGATAATTCAACCATTTTAAAATGCAAATTTCGACGATTGATGTTTACTTACAACTTTACTAAAAAAAAGGTATTATAGATGCGAGCAACGAAACATTTTGAACCCATATAATGCAAATTCATATCCTCACTTATAGGGTGTCAAGCCTAAAGGATGCGAATTCATGTCCCTGATTTCTAAAAATTAACATAAAATTGTAGGCTACCAACGCGAATTCGCGTCTACTGGGATCTTTTCCCATACCTTCTTGCCTATTTATCAGTGGGTTGGGTTGGGGGGGAATGTCAGCTGTCCCAATGTACCTGTAAAATGTCACATGCGACCGAGTTCAAGCAGCCATTATTTTTATTTATTTCAAGCTATATAGATTACATTAAAAGAAAATAGCATTTTTTAAACATGTTATTATATGAACAACTCGATTTTCATACGGCCCACTGGACCATGTAACTCTGGAATCATAAGTGCAAAAACAGACATCCCTAAAGGACTCCTTTAAAATATCTTTATGATTATTTTTTAATAATATTCTTAAACATTTTTAATTTTTTTTCATATTTATTAACTTTTCAATATAGAAAATAAGATAACATAAAAGGGATAAATTCATTTAATGGACCTCACTAAAAACTGCATTTCTAGCCGAGTGACCTGGGCAAAGCCCCAGGTTTACCCTAAAGGCCTGTGAATGGGCAGGATAACCATATGTGTGCCATTGCAAAGATCCTAAATCAATGTATAGAGCACTGGGGAAAATAGTTTTTTTTTTTTTTTGCTTATCCCTAGTACACGTGGTACAGGCCATGATAATCATGGTGGATAGTTAGCGACTGCTTTTACTGTAAGCGCACCACATGTCTACACATGTGAAAAGCAGTTTGACTTTGCACTTACAAATGCCAGAGCCCCGTTCGGTTACTTGCACTCGCTGGTGGGGTTGGACCTTTGCAAGAATCGGGGGCCATTGGAGCATTTTTTTTTTTTTTTAACAGAAAAAAGTGCCCAATGCGGGAATCGAACCCGGGTCCTAGTGGTCGAAAACCAAACGGTTTACCCAGCCTTCCACCGACCAAAAGTCAAAATAATAATAAATATTTTATGAATGAACAAATAATACAAAAAATTGCTTTCAGGTGAGAAACTATAGGCATTGGTGAAAACTTTAAAAAATTATATTGAAAAAAAAAAAAAGAAAACAAATATTAAAAGAAAATTCAATACAACACAACTATATAGCAAATACAGCCATTATTTCTAGCCGAGTGACCCGGCAACGCCCCGGGTTTAGCCTAAAAACCTGATAGATAACCATATGTGAGCCATTGCATAGATCCTGAATCAATGTATAGAGCACTGGGGAAAATAGGTAAATAAAGACCAAAAATCAAAATACTTAATTATAAATATTTTATTAGTGAACATCTAATACAAAAAAATCCTTTCAGGTGAGAAACTATGTTGTTGTTGTTTCTTATCCCCTTGTGTAAAGATTACACGAATTCCATGATCTCATGGAATGGGGTATAGGGGTGCAGCTTTCGTTGATCATGGCACCATGATCCAGGCACACTTTGGTGAAAGTCTGACTTTGCCTGTGATTTGAGGCCATTCCAAACATGGAAGCCTTTGTTTCTGACTCTAACATGAGCACAGACGCAGCTCCTCCGTATCCCTGGAGTGGAACCATTGCTGAGGTCCATCAACTGGGTCAGTTGAACTCAGGATTTTTAAAGAGGGAGTGTCCCTCCTGGTTACAGCATCAAGTCTACCAGAACAAGACTTGATACAATCGTGTAGAGAGTTTACTGTACCTCCCAACAATGTCCACTGCACCACAGGCCAGTTACAGAGGGGTAAGCATGGGAGGTGTGAGAAACTATAGGCATTGGTTGATGAGGCACAATTTGGATTGTAGATTATAAACAAAAGGTAATAAGACCAAATCCAAATAAATAAATAGTGTGTGACGTTTCGGTAACAGCGTTGTTACCATCTTCAGACAAAAGTACTGAATGGAAAAAAGGAGCCTACAGCACCCGGTGTTCCCAGGTGGTCACCCTCCCAAGTACTGACCTAGCCCGACGTTGCTTAACTACGGTGATCGGACGAGAACCGGTGTTTTCAACGTGGTATGGCCGTAGGCCATAGTACTTTTGTCTGAAGATGGTAACAACGCTGTTACCGAAACGTCACACACTATTTATTTATTTGGATTTGGTCTTATTACCTTTTGTTTATAGGCATTGGTTAAACTTTGAACAAATTTTTTGGAAATGAAACAAAAAGTAAAAGAAAACAAATCTTAAAAGAAAATTAAATACAACACAACAATATACCAAATTAGACAACATAAAAGGCATACATGCATTTATTTGAAATGAAAAAAAAAAAATAAAAGAAAACAAATCTGAAAATAAAATTGAATACAACACAACTATATAGCAGATAAGACAACATAAAAAGGAAAAATCCATTTAAAGGACCTCATTAAAAACTATATTTCTAGTTTTATAAATACGTGGGTTCAACTTTACCCGTATGCTATTCAAAGTTCGCACACGTGAAAAAGCCACATAGAGCTGTCCATGAGTAAACACGGGCTCATGTAGCAAGAGACCCACTCTAGCAAAGGTTTGGCCTTGAGCCTTATTAATAGTCATGGCAAAAGCCAACCTTAGTGGAAACTGACGCCTCTTCAGAATGAAGGGAAGGTTGGTATCTGAAGGAGCCAAAGATATTTTTGGCACCAATACAGTTTGTCCAACTTTGGTCCCTGTCAGTATTTGTGCTTCTAGGACATGAGAGCGCATGCGCTGGATAACCATACGTGTGCCATTGCAGAGACCCTGCTTAGGATTCAAATTTCTAAGGAGCATAACAATAGCACCAATCTTAAGGTTTAACCGGTGTGGAGGCATTCCTGTGGGAGTAAGGCTATTAAGGAATTCAGTAGGGTAGTTATTTTGTTCCTCCACATTCTCACACTCGACACTGTCAACACTTAGAAAACACTGACTCCTGTTTGGTAAGCGATCCAAAACTTTTTCATTAATCTCTAATGAATCTGTGTTTTTTGGCGTTAAAATCACAGACTGGCTAAGGGCGGTAATATCACCATAGGAAGAACCAAATATTTCCTGCACCAGGTCAACCCCATGAAAGATACAGCTTTCTGGAAGAGAAATGAGGCCCTGTTGGTCTGTAGGTAGATCACCATCACCAACTTTAAGTAACCATTGAGAGAAGCTCTGTGCATCAATACCTGCTCGCATATTCTGAGTAAGGCGCAAGATCACAAACAATGGCCATAGCTTGCTTTGCTTAATGCAAGCAGCAACAATTTCAGCTCTTGAAGCTCGAGGTACCACAGGTAGCACTTGGCGAAAGTCACCTCCAAGAACAACAACCTTTCCGCCAAAAGCAAGGTCACAATGCATAATGTCCTTTAGGAGACGATCCACAATTTCAAGTGCTCTGTAGTGGCCATAGGAGCCTCATCCCAAATAATTAAGGATGATATACGAATAAGCTCAGCCTCAGAACTATTGGCCGAGATCGCAGCTACAGAATTCTCAAGCAAGGGAATCGGCAGCTTAAACCTGGAATGGACAGTCTGGCCACCTGACAAAAGGGTAGCCGCTATTCCAGTGGAGGCCAGCGGAATGACAATTTTTCCAACGGCTCTAACACAATGAATTAGGGTGTTATAAACATAAGTCTTGCCCGTACCACCAGGCCCATCAATAAAAAAGCAACGTGGATTTACATTGAGGGAATCAACAATTGTGTCAACAATTGACTTTTGATCTGGTGTAAGGGACCTATACATTTCTGTCCCAATTTGCAGCTCTGCATTAACATCAAGGTGATCCTCTCCTGAATCAAGAAGTGGGGTTAGGGGTGCAGGAAGTCCATAATGGTGGCAACTGAGGCGATTTTCTCTCAGCTGGAATTCAAGCTCTCTGAGAGTCATCTGTTCAGCAGCTGCGTCAGATGTTGCACGAGAAAAGTCCTCACTAAGATACCCCTTGTATTTGGTCCACAGTGATACAGGGTCGGTAGGATTATTGTAGATGAGAATTGTCGCAAAGAGCTGCCGCAGTTGACAAGGCATTTGGAACAAAGTCGCCTCAGCTAAGCATGCATCCCATTCAGAATCATCAGCTAATAATCCACGGCGCTGGGCAGCCTCTTTAAAAGTGGAGCAAACAATATCATCCACAGTTCGCAAATCTTCAAAACTCTGAGCACCTGCAACATGTAATAGTAGAAGCCGGAGGTGGTAACGCTCAGAATCTTTAGGATTCACTGAACACATACGTCCAATGCACAAAGCCCCACCCCGAACTCTAGCACTCCATTGATTCTGCCTGAAAACATAAGCGGAAGGTATGTCTCCATATAAAAGTGATCTTGCGGATACATTAACACAATTGAGCTGAAACCAGGCAGTCAGAGTTGTGCGTCTGCGTGAGGCATTTTCAAGAGCCTGTTCTTCACTACCTTCAACAAAATAGACAGATTGAAAATTAGGTAGATGAACAGCTAAGCGACATATGGTATGCGAGTGAGCATGCAAGCGATATTCAAACATTCGCCACATTGCCTCAGGAGCACTTACATACCGAGCGTCAAGAAAGTTTTTGATTTCATCATGTGCCCTGCTTTCCATATCTAATTCTCCAACAGACACTTCCACCTCAGCCCTGTCGTGTCCCTTATATACATACTTGAAAAGATATTTGACACTTTTCACAGAGGCACAGACCTCCACATTAATGTGAGCATTGAACCTAACCAGCAGATAGGGGTTATAGGGAACAACCCAGCGGTTATCCACCTCGTGAGTGCCCACAACTAATGTCTGGCCGTCATCTCGACGTCTGTAGCGAGGATAGCCATTATTGTTAGCCTCAGTCAGCTGCAGGAATGATTTAGGGAAGTCTTTAGTACACTTGCCATCAGACATGCATGGTGAGTGAAGATTGAAGTTTCCACAAGGACCATGGATCATATGTTTACGAACCATGTCATACAGCTGAACCTGCATAGTAGGGCTAGGAATTTCTGCACAAACCAATCTGTCAATGGCATCCCTGTCTCTAGGCTTGTCTTCTTCTCTAAGCATAAACAGCATGTGGGCATGCGGTAAACCGCGTTTTTTGGAACTCAACAACATGCACCCGAGCAATGACCACTCCCAATACATGCTGACTAACAATCTCGTGCAGTAATTGTTGTAACTTGAGATTGAAAACTCTAGCCACCAGATCCGGTCTATCAGAAGGATTCTGGTTAGGAAGAAGATTTTCAACAATGTCAGTCCAACGTGGGTTACAGGTAAATGTCACGAATAGGTCAGGTCTTCCAAACTTTCTAACAATGGCCATCGCATCCTGATAGTTTTGTTGCATGGCCCGGGAACTCCCAGGAAAGGAAGATGGAAGAATAAAAATACGGCCTATTCGCACACCCCGAGAATGTTCCTGTTCATGGATATAAATCATCAGACCTTGATATAACTCCACCCTAAGCAGGGACTGATTTTGGCGAATATAGTTCAGGCGATTGCCCTCTGTTTTAACATAGGCATCAACAACATATTGCTGAAATAGTCTCCTGCCATAGTGAATGGGCGAAAAGCCAGGTCTGATGGCCAACCTATAACTATAGAACTGAAGCATGGTAACATGGTTTCTAGTGCTTGTGCGCATGTTTTCTTCATGTAAGATTCCTATTGCCCAACCAGGATCACCGGCAGGAAATAAAAGAGGGTATGTCATTGGGTCACAGTTAGGATTAAGTGGAGAAATACGCACTAAACCACAATCATGCGGAAAAACAACAATATCTCTGTTAGAAGGAACATGGCCATCTTGATCAACAAAAATGGCCGCAACTTCACTTACACTTGGCGCATTATATCGGCGAAGATCTCTACAATGATTTTGCCGGATGAGCATCTGAACCTGACACATTTGCCGGTTCTCAATGCGAGCCCGGTGTTCCTCAGCTAGTTCCACCTGGTGCATTTGCCTATAAGCAGAATTATACGGATTCACACGCCTAAGCACAGAATCCAAAAGAGTCAATATACCAGGATGGCATTCCAAAGGCCTAGATGCTGCAATGCGTGTATTATTCGCAGCCTCAGAATCCAAAATATAAAGTTGGGCATAAGACGGGGCTCTGTTTCCATGAGGATGAAGGGGCCCAGTCAAATGATAGATCTGTCCATGGATCCTATAACAAAAAGGCCCCTGTCCAGAAAAGACATCAACCTGCGCACCCATGGAGGCAAATGCCAAAGAGCTGTTGTAACTCCGAATGTTGGTCTGGAAGTACTTAGCCTCCACACTGTTTGAAGTCATCAATTCCATCATTTCATATGGAAAGGAGGACAAAGTAGGAAGAATAACTTTCCCTTTGTGGCAGCAGGAGCTACCAACAGTTTCGCCAGGGAAATGAAGGGCTGAGCAGTAAGGGCAGACTATATCGAGGCCCCCAATAATATATTCAGTGGGAACAGGAGAAATAGGATTAGGGGCGTTGTTCCTGCGGCGAGTCCTATAAGCGCGCCTGGACTGGAGAGCGAGTCTTCCACGGCCTCTGCGAGGCATGATACAGAAGTCGCTGAAAAAAAAAAGCTAAACTAAAAACCAAGTTGAGCAAATACATGTCAAAATAAATTTAATTTAAAAGATCTCAATATAAACAACATATTAAATTGCACAGTGCAAAAATGTAGAAAATTGTATGTATCATATAACATTTTACCATATAACAAATTAAGTAATCAACAATTGATTATACAAATAAATAATTAGCCTCTTATTGAGAAAAATAAAGATGCCAAAGACATTATGAAAGATAGCCGAGTGACCCGGGCAACGCCCCGGGTTTACCCGAAGGACCCGCAGGTGAGAAATTATAGAAGAAAAATTTTAACAAATCAGAAAATGAAATTGCAAACAACAGAACTACACTTCTTTAAGGACATGAGAGCACTTGCACTGTATCACCATACGTGTACCATTTTCAAAGACCCTGCTTAGGATTAAAACTTCTCAGAACTGGTGTGGATGCATTCCTCTGGGAGTAAGACTATTGCTATACAGTGTGTTCAACTTTGGGCACTG